TGCTTTTCTTTTTCTCACCAAAACCATTTGTTAATTAAAAAAAAAAAATTCATTAACCCACAAACAAGCTCCCTTCTTCAAAGCCTGCCCATTCCTGCAGGCTATTCTGACAGTCATCCTCGAGTCATAAATACACAGGAGGCAGCTTCCACTTTGGGTCTGGTAGAAGTCTCTTGGGAAAAGCCAATTTCCTTAATCTTTTTGAGGGAATTTATTACAAGCATCTGTGATTCTTTACTGCTCCTTTGCCCCTATATTTCCTGCCATTGCTGGTGCATCTAGTCTCCTGGGCATAGCTTTTGTATTTTGCCCCCAGGGCAGCAGGGCAACGGTTTAGGCTGCTGCAGCCAGTGACATGTCAGGAGTGGTTTGCTGGGTTTGTCTGCTCTTTGGTCTTTTGCAGCTCTGGGGACAGATGCAATGTGAAGGACAGAGGCTGTCAAGGCACAGCTCAATACTCACTAGCAGGCTTTAAGCAACTCACTTTACCCCAGAGCCTCAGTGTTCTCATCTCTAAATGGGGATGATAAAGAGGCAAGCCTCTCTCACAGGTTACTGTGAATCTGAAGGGGGCTCAAGTGCGAGAATGTCTGTGAAAGCCATTTGCAAATAGAGTGGTCCATAATCATGTGAATTTTTCTTTTTTCCTTCTTTCCTTCCCTGCCTCCTAAGGTCATGGAGCCACTAAGCCACTGCTGGCTCTACCAGCCATCTCCCTGTCTTGTGGCTGCAGTCTTCCCATGAGGCTTGTCTCTGCTGTTCAGCCTTTGCTCTCTAGTGTTCTCCCCCGGCCCACTCCATGTTCCACTAACCCTTTCCTGTAGGGACAGTAGGAAGTCCCTGGGAGATTAGAGTGCTGTTATTCTATTTGTGATTGGGTTTCAGAGCTGTGTCTGGGTATCTTCATCTTTGAAGCTGGTAGCACCGAGGCTCAAGGTAGGGGGTGCAGCCAGACCGCAGAGCAGTTCTTTGACCTTGAGCCTACTTTTATAATGGACAATAGGTGCTGAAAGCATTGAGGAGGGAGGGCTATGTAAGAGTCTTGATGAGCATCTACAGCAGGGTGAGGAAGAAGGGTTTAGAAGGGCATTTTGAGGTGCCCGTGTCTCCTCCCCTCACAAGTCTTTGTAATAACATCAACCCCCAGTTGAAGAGTGTTATGAGAATACTGTGTGTGAGTGGATCATTGTAGATGAATGTTAAAAGCAGGGGATGCATTATTTACATTAGCCAGTAAGTTGCCTAAACTAATGACTGAGAAAGGCATGATCTAAAATATTATTCATAGGCAAAGGCTGACATCAGTAGGGGGCAGGGAGCTGAGATGGTGTCCAGACGGAAAGTAGGTATCTATACTTCTAAGGAATACACTTCCAAGAAAAAAGAAGGCAGAATGCCAAAGAATTGATGCTGTTGAACTGTGGTGCTGGAGAAGACTCCTGAAAGTCCCTTGGACAACAAGGAGATCAATCTTAAGAGAGATCAACCCTGAATATTCACTGGAAGGACCGATGCTGAAGCTGAAGTTCCAGTATTTTGGTCATCTGATGCACACAGATGACTCATTGGAAAAGTCCCTGATGCTGGGAAAGACTGAGGGCAGAAGGAGAAGAGGGTGTCAGAGGATGAGATGGCTGGACGGCATCACCAGTGCAATAAGCATGAACTGGGGCAAACTCTGGGAGATGGTGAGGGACAGGGAGGCCTGGCATGCTGCAGTCCCTGGAGTTGCAAAGAGTTGGACACGACTGGGTGACTGAACAACAGCAAAGGAAAACACACTGCCAAAACAGGAGCCTCACAGACAATGAGTGGGAAAGCCTCATAAATAGACTGGGGAGGACAGGATCACCTCCCATCCAGCCTCGTGCCTCTCACTTCTGGGTGATAAGGTCCCAAGTGAAGACACAGCAAACTTGAGAGAGCAGTTCCCAAAGGGAATAACCGACTGCTCCCAGTCCAGAAATTTGTCAGGGTACTCCTTCTTGCCTGCTCATCTGCTCAGAGTCCCAGGATCTCCTTGGGCTTCTTATGTCATCTGTGGTCATTCCAGTCCTGCAAACCAAGAAACCAGAGTGAGTCTGTCCCTTGATTTTTTGATAACTTGGCTAGAGTACTTCTGGTGAAGAGAACTTTCTGGAAAAGTCTCTCACCTGTTTCTTGTTCTTGGTTTCTAAATAGTATTGACAAAAAAGTAATGCTGAGGACAGAAATGGTGAAAGCTTTCAATGAGTTTGGAAGAGGGTTCAAAAAGCCATTTCCAAGTGACTTCAATTTCCTCATCCATAAAATAGGGCTAATGCCACCACATATCTTACGATGAGGAGAGATAATCTAATAAGCAAAGTGCTTTTGCTCCCCAAATGGTAGCTATTGTTTGTGTATCTTTTTCTCATTCCCTCTGTCATTGCCCTTATGGCAGAAAGCAAATAGGAACTAAAGAACCTTTGGATGAAAGTGAAAGAGGAGAGTGAAAAAGCTGGTTTAAAACTCAGCATTCAAAAAAACGATCATGGCATCTGGTCCTGTCACTTCATGGCAAATAGATGGGGAAACAATGGAAACAGTGAGAGACTTTATTTTCTTGGGCTCCAAAATCACTGCAGATGGTGATTGCAGCCATGAAATTAATAGACACTTGCTCCTTGGAAGAAAAGCTATGACAAACCTAGTTGTTGTTCAGTTGCCCAGTTGTGTCCAACTCTTTTCAATCCCATGAACTGCAGTACCCCAGGTCTCTCTGTCCCTCAATATCTCTCGAAGTTTGCCCAAGTTCTCATCCACTGTATTAGTGATGCCATCCAGCCATCTCATCCTGACTCCCTCTTCTCCTTCTGCCCTCAATCTTAGATAGTGTATTAAACCTAGACACCATATTAAATACCTAGACAGTGTGTTAAAGAGCAGAGACATTATCTTGCTGACAAAGGTCCATATAGTCAAAGCTATGGTTTTTCCAGTAGAGACGGATGGATATGAGTTGGACCATAATGCTCAGATGCTTTCAAATGTGTTGGAGAAGACCCTTGGACTGCAGGGAGATCAAACCAGTCAATCCTAAAGGAAATGAGTCCTGAATATTCATTGGAAGGACTAATGCTGAAGCTCTAATACTTTGGTCATCTAATTTGAAGAGCCAACTCATTGGAAAAGACCCCGATGTTGGGAAAGATAGAAGGCAGGAGGAGAAGGGGACAACCAAGGACGAGATGATTGAATGGCATCACTGGCTCAATGGACATGAGTTTGAGCAAGCTCCGGGAATGGTGGAAGGACAGGGAAGCCTGGCACGCTGCAGTCCACGTGCTCTCAAAGAGTCGGACACTACCGAGTGACTGAACAATAACTGTCATTGCCACAGCTCCTAGTATATCTCCAGCATCCAAGCTGGTCTCCATGCTTCACACTTTCGTCTCTGATCCTGCCATCCATTTTCCAGGATGTTCACTGGGAGAGAAATCAGTGTAAAATACAAAGAGGTATGTCATCCTCCTGCACAAAAATTTTAGGTTTCCAATTTTTTCAGAATAAAGTCAAATGTAGCAGCCTTCCAGATATAGGTTTAAGAGTTTCTCTGTTTCTACTCATTAACTCATACTATGATGAGTATCTTCTCAATGCCAGATGAAAACAGACTGAGGTGCTTACTCAAGAGTGCTGGCTAGTTGGTCATAGAGATTTGAATTCACTCTGCTTGTCATCCCCTCCAACTGGAGCTCTTTGTACTGAGCAATAATGCATCCTTGGCAGATGGGAACGGACGGCAGTGACAGCAGAAGGGGTCCAGTATCTGGGCTGGGGAAAGTAGTGTTTGGAAGGATGCTGGGGATGAGATGACCACCCCTCTTTCCCAGGATGGTGGTGGGGAGAGGACCACCGATTTGGAGAGAAGGTTCTGGGCCTGGGCTTCAAGCACGCAAGTGTGTACCTGACTTCTTTTCCCCAGAGGACAGGGACTACCTTCCATGATCTGTCTCCCCTCCCCCTCCACACTCCTTCCCTCCCCATACAGAGCCTGGAGCCAAGTGGGACCTCCATAGACCCTGGGGAGATATTTAAAAAAAAATTATTTTATATTGGAGTAAGTGTCCGCACGCGACTAAGCAACAAACACTTTCACTGTAGCCGATTAACAATGTTGTGATAGTTTCAGGCAGCCAGCAAGGGACAGCATCCATACACACCCATGTATCCATTCGATGGGGAGAAGATTACGGCCTCTGGTAGTCACATCTTTTCTATGGGGATTGCAGTGGTGGCCGCAGGCCGCTTCTGCCCTTCTACAGGGCGGAGTTCTGTTTTAGGCAAGTGGGCCTCTGGGATGGTCAGTGTGGGGCAACGACATTTGCTCAACAAGTGGTCTCCTCTCGCCTTCTCCCAGAGCCCCAGCTCAGCTCCAGTGCAGGAAGGATCCTCACTCCCTTTTCCACCCTACTGGAGTCCTCCTGCCCACCAGCCTGCAGACGGCTTGACGTGGATATGGCCAGGGGCAGGGATTCACCGGCCCTCCTGTTCAGTACCTGCAGTGAGGGGAAGGTTCTTGCCATACTCTGTGAAATAGATTTTGTTGTTTCATATTCTACATGAGGCTTCAGAGCAGTTGAAGGACTTGCTCAGGGTAACACAGCCCGTCGGCAGCAGAGGCGGGATTTATAGTCTCTGCCAGCTTGGAGAGTGCTGGCTTCCACCATGCAGGACCAGACATTTGGGGACCTTGCTCCTCCGCGTTGCCCCTCCCCCTCGGCCCGCCCTTGCCGTGGGAGGGGGAGGGGAGCAGGATCCCAGCATCACCCCGGGGTTCGGTGCACCACCTAACCAAACACCCCTAATCCCGCAGCCCGCTCGCTAGCGACCTCTGAAGGGCTTGGCGGATTTGGGGCGCGGTGTGGCGAGGGGCCCACCCCGTCTTCCCGACTATTTGCATAACGGAGACTGCTCGTTTCCCCCGCCCCTTCGCCGCACTCTTCTTCCCTCCTTCCCGCGTACCCGCCACCCCTCATCTCCCGGCCCCTCTACTCCTCCTCAACAGACCCCCCTTCAGGGACTCCCAGCTCCCGGGCTCCCAGGGTGCCGCCGAGCGCGGAGTCCGGAGGCATCCCAGGGAGGGGGGATCCTAGGCAGGGCCGGGCTGGGGAAGACGCCTGGGGCACTACGCGGTGCTAACAAAAGGAACCAGCTGCCTACCGGCTGGGGCGCAGAGCGGGCGGAGCTACCGCAGCTTCCGCGGCTGAGAACGCAGCGAGTGAGTAAGACTGCTGCGGGGCGGTGGCGGGACCCAAGCCCCCAGGGAGGAGTGGAGCGAAGGGGCGCAGGAGGGGAGCGGAGCGGCGGGGCCCGTGGCGAGCCGAGGGCGCAGGGAATCGATGTTCAGCACTCCTCAGTCATCTTCACTGCGTGGACCCGCCGCCTTTTGCTGGGGGTGTCTGTGGATTAATCAAGGCCGAGGGGGCAGCCCTGGCTTCTCCCCGGCTCCGCGAGACTGCGGACCCACAACAAACCCACGTGCACGAGGCCCCAGGGAGCCCCGCTTTCTCCACTGCACCGGCAACATGGGAGGGAGACGTAAAGTCCAGGTTCCTTTGGATCTCGCCTGCCGGATGTACAGGAGGAGAAACCCGGGCTCTCTGCAGGGGTGGGGGCGCAGGTACCATAACAAACGCACGTGCGTCCTGCCCAGGGTGCGGGGTGCACCGCCAGCCCTCCGGAGCCGCCCTGCGGAACCCGGCCTTTGTCTCAGCTATCGGGAGGGAACGGCGCTGGGGGCGCCACTTGCTGGAGAAGAAAGACTGACACATTTAAAAGGTACCGCTTGGGTATCAGACCAAACCACCAGATTTAAAAATAGGAAACACGAAGGGAGAAAGAAGCAAAAAGATTACTCAAGGCCGAGAGTGTGTTCCCGGCCGTGGTGCAGACTTGAGATGACCCAGGCCACCCCTCACTTTCACCTCACGGTGGTTTCTTAAAGACAGGGGGTGAATTAAGGGTCTGCGAGTCCCCCTTCCCCCAGAAAAGACTGTGCCTAGCGCACCATTGTCCTTGCACTCTCCGCAGGGGACGGCGAGCGCCGCCTCAGTCCGATTTAAACTACGCCCAGCACTGTCTTGGCTTTCGCTTGCGCTTTGCCGTGTAGGTCCCTGCGTCTAACCAGCCCCATTGTCATTGGCCTCTTTTGGCTTGTCGTGTCTCTTTATAAGGAAGGCTAGCTGAGGTCTCTTGTTCTAGGTGGGGACGCCCTTATTTTCAGTTCTATCCGAGTTTATTTGCGAGAAATTCCGAGGTCGGGAAGGAGAGGCCTCTTGTTTGTTTTGCTTTTTCTTTGCCTATGAATGCTCAGCTCAGCTTTGCGGATTTTAGTTCAGTAGACCTGTTCTGGCAGCAGTGGGATGGTTTAGGGGATGCACTGGCCTCGTAGGTAATGGTGTGGGTGCAGAAGGCAGCCAGACAGGTTGTGGAGTGGGTGGTGTGTGCAACAACCTCGTGCTTGCCGAGCGGTCGGGCAGCGGCTTCACCTGGCCAGCTGCGCTGGAGATTAACTTGTCCCTCGGGGACTGGCGGGCCTCCAGCTCTGCGACACGGTCTCGGGGAGTCTAGAGAGCATCCAGCGAACCCTCCTATTTTACAGGAGGGGAAACGGAAGTCGGTAGAGTTCAGTTCCTTGTACCAAGTTTCAACCCAAGTGAAGTTGGCCACCTAGAGAGGACAAGAGCCTGGGTCTCCTGACTCCCCCATGGCGCATTGCCGAGGAGCGACTGAAGACAGAACCCTGGAATCTGTGGTTGGCTGAAAAGGCAGTGGCCTTAGGCACAACAGAGTTAAACAAAGAACGTGATTCAGATTGAAAGCTGCACCCTTCCATTATGCCTTTGAAGAGTTCTATCCATTTGAGAGAAGATAGATTCAGTAATTCCTCACTCTCCTTCTAGCCTTTCCTAAGCCTAGTTAATTTTCTCTTCTGGCTGCCCCTTCTCCTCGCGCTGGAGCCCAGCCTGCTGTGGAGACTTAGATGTTTTGCCTCTCATTCTTGTGCCAAGAGGCCTTTGTTCGGGCATAAGCACACAGGGTAGAAAGTGTGTCCTAGGGCGCTACTCCTGAGTCACTTGTGGGAGAACAAAGCCTTGTTTTCACTGATTTTATTTAATTAAGTTTTTACAGATGAGAGTCTCATGGAAGTAGCTACTTAGTTTTGTATTTGGCAGGGGAAGCATTGGAAAACCAAAGACATCACTTTGAGTCTGGGTTTCCCCAGAGTGCTGTTTCCCCCTGTTCCTCTTACCTCCTAACCACACTGGTTTCTCTTCTTAAGGTTTCCAGGGTGTTTCATTTTTGTGGTCATTCCACTTGGCACTTGAGTATAGTTCGCATCAGAACGCTCACCCTGTAAGGAACTTAGAAATCAGCTGGCCTGTTTTTCTAAATGAAAAAACTGAAGCTCAGTGAGACTTCCCTTGCCCAGGGACACGCAGCAATGTGTCTGCTCTTAGTTAGCCCTTTTTGCACTTTAGCAAAACTTGTGTCGAGTGAGTTTTTGTTGGTACCCCAGTGTACGAAGTTACGATGGTTGTTACAACAACACCTTTAGGTCAGAGACCATAGGTTTTGGTTATGAAACAAAACCATGGATCCCAGTGGTAGATACAGTGAGGAGTATTATACTAATAGTTTTCACTGGGGGTTGGTTTTCTTTAGTGTTTACCAGGTGGTTCTCTTTACTCTTGCCCTGGGTTTCCCCACATTCCTCTGCCTCCTGTTCCTCCAGTAGGGAAGTGCTTTAAAGCATGATCACAGAATGAAAGGCAGCAGGAAGTCAGAAGAGAGACCCTCCTTAGCTCTTCATGCTACTTAACTTCTTGGGTTCCAGTGTTCCTTGTGCAATGAGAGTCGTTCCTGCCCATTCAGTCTCTGCACAGGCTGTTTGGATGGAGTGGAAGTTGCTCGGCCTTTAGAGGTAGAGGGTCCGGTTGGGTCAGCCCTCCTCTCCTGTGTTCCTTGTGGACTGCATCCACACAGTGTCAAGGGAAGAACACGTCTGCATCTCCTAGGGGTGTGGTGGGTACTAAATCTTGTGATGCATGCTTATTCAGACCTTCCAGCAGGGTTGAGTGCTCATCAGCTTTTTAGTGGTAGAGAATGATGATGGGAAGATAACCTCATTGGGTGAGCCCTGTGCTCAAATGAAGAGGCCCAGCCTAGACACAAACAAGGGGGATTGTCTGCCAGACTGTTAAAAGGGCCTTTGGGTGGTTGTGAAGTGTGTGTGACTTTAAGGTAAATAAACCTAGTTTAAAAAAAAAAAAAAATCAAGAAATTTCATGCACAGGTGAGTGCAATCTAGTCTTTCCATCCATTTATTCCATACTTACTGACAAGCAGGCAGGTGGAGGCAGGGGTGGTTCCTATGCTGGGCCTGGAGTTACAAAGAACCAGATCCACTTGTTGGCCCCCCACCAGACTTGCTTGGAATGCATTTGGAAAACCGCCCTCAGGAACCCACAAAAAATAAATCTAATTTATCTCAAAATTGACCTCTGCAGGGGTGGGATTGTCTCTTTTCATTATAGTCAAACCAAGAGCAGTTGGTAAATGAGAGAGTGGAAAAGAGAAGGCTTCCAAGAGAAGGTGGATCTCCACAAGTGTGGGGACTTGGTTGCATTACAGAGTGTCGGGAAATTAGTGAAATTTGCAATAAGCTTCTGGAACATAGACTCTTGAGAATTTGCTTAGATTTGGTGTCAGTGACTTATTCAGTATGAACCAAATTGGGGAAAAGATACATTTTTCTTGCTTGTCTGCATTGTATACTGCAGTATCCTGACTTGAATAGATGTGCTTTCTATAGTTGTACATGAAACAGTAACATAGTAAGCAATGCAGTGTCATCACATTGAAATACTGGGATGATTTTCTGAGTCATGACTAGAAGGGTCAGGTTAGCCTTTAGAATCAGTTCGGTGATTAAATTTTGTTTATCATGCTGATTGTAAAAATACAGTATGTCCATTGAGGACAATTTTGGAAAGTACAAAAATGTATAGAGAAATAGAAAAAAAATTCCATTATTCAAAGGCAACCACTGTTAACGTTTGGCAACTTTCCTTCTTCTCTGTTTTTTTTTAGTGGATTTGTTTTCTCTAAATGGTAGAGGACTTACTGCTTGTACAGTTACTCTTGGCTTTTTTGCTTAGTCTTTTCATATACCCATGTCACAGTTTATATCCACATTAAACCTGCACCTTTTCATTCATCAACATATCAGCATCTCCAAGGTCACATGGTCCCNCACATTAAACCTGCACCTTTTCATTCATCAACATATCAGCATCTCCAAGGTCACATGGTCCCATGGGCTCCAGTCACTCCAGTGATCATTTCAGTGAAGGCCTGCAGAGGAAAGAGTCTCCAGCTTCTTCTCCTTTTCCTAGCTGTGCCTCAAGCATCCAGATACCAGCTGTTTAAAAAATATATATCTTTTTCATGTAAGAAGACAGCTAAAGTCTAGTGAAGAGAGAAGGACCCTGTGTATGGCCTTGGGTTCTAGTCTTGCCCTTGTGACGACTTGCTTTAACAGCTTGGTTTTCTGTTTCTGTATGTATTAAAATAAGCAACCCCAGGGTCGTTTGTTAACTCATTCCTTGCATCTTCGAGTGCCCATTCTAAACCAAAGCTGTATAAGAAGAGCTCAGACCCAGGAGAGGAGTTGGAAAACAAGAGACCAGTGCAAGGTGCCCTGGGAATGCAGAAGAGGGAGGGGCAGCCAGCCCAGACTGGAACAGTGGGGGAGGCTTCCTGGGTAAGGGCTGTCATGGGCTTGTTCAGCTACTTCAGATCCTTTATTGAATTCCCACTGAGCTTAACATGCTTGTGATAAATCTCTGTCCACATCCCAGATAATTCCCATAGGATACAATCCTAAACTTGGAATTACTGGGTCATACTTTAAAGACTCTCATCATTTTAAAACACTTTGTAGATTCAGTCCCAGTTGCCTACGAAGTCTTAAAGTACCTAAGTATTTTGTATTGTGGAAACGGTAGAAATTGAGAGCAAGTAACTCAGCATTTGAATTCTTGTTTACCAGTTATCACCTACAAGCTACTTAAGCTCATGAAGCTTCAGTTTCCTTCTCTGTAAAATGGACGTAACTGCCCTTACCTCACTGGATCATTGTAAGGATTTTTAGAAAGAATTTTACTTACTTTTTTATATTTTAATTTTTATTTGCTTATTTTTTAAATGATTATT